ACAGGTTGACCCTTTGTAACAATGAGATGTAGAAGACACTTTGTTGAAAACGAACTTTACAACAGCAGGGGAGGGGGAGAATATTTGTGGAGGTGGGAGGGAAGGGATGCTAGGGGAAAAACAAGGAGGAGGCAACAGTGCTTGATAGGAAATGTACACATTACCTTGTTCCTGTAATTCCTCTGTACAGTATTTTTACAATAAAAAAACATAAAAATAAAAAGAAGGAAAAAAAGATGATGTTAAGTGAAATGAACCCCAAGATAGAAACACAACTTTTTTTCTTTCTTGCTATTGTTTTTAACATATTTAATATGTAGTATGTGATTTTTTCTTCATTTGTATATGCTTCCCCCATGGTATAACCCCTGTTTTCACTGCATTTGATGTCAGTGCCCTGCATCTTGTACATACATTTTTCTAATTTGGGGAGGGGAAGGAAAATAACAAAATGCTGAAATAAGGATACAGGTTTACCCATTGTAACAATGATATGTACAAGACACTGTGTCAAAAACTAACTTTACAACTTGGGGCAGGGAGGGAGGAGTTGGGAAGGTGGGGAGGGAAGGGCTGGTAGGGGAGAAACAAAGGAGGAGGTAACAATGCTCTATAGGAAATGTACTCATTACCTTACTCATGTAACTATAACCTATCTGTACACTAATTTTACAATAAAAACATAAAAAAGTTGTAAAACAAAGAATCTTCTTCAAAAAGCACCCTGAAAAGAGATAGTTGTACAATAAAGTGCCAAAGGGTAAGACCACAGCACTATGTTAGAAATATTTAGGGTAGAACCAGTTACTTAGCACACTCTTTTTCTGTGGTTTATCTTCTAGCTGCAGAAGAGCCCTGGCAAAACAAAACATAGGCCACAGAAGGTGTCTGCCAGTTTCATTTAACTTTGACAGGCCTTAGCCGAAGTACAGCCATTCTGTACTTAGACTCCATTTTGAAGACCTTTACCGGAAGTATCCCTTATGAAGGCCTTTACTGAAAGTAAGCATTGTAAAGACCTTTACTAACATATGAGCTCAGGTCCCTGGAAAAACTGCATGACAGAAACTGCTCTGACCAGTAGCTCCTTAGCAACAGTCAGTCAGTAACTAGGAGGAAAGTAAAGCTCCAGATGTTTCTTAAGATAGCATAGTTAACGTATTTTGCTGCTTAGCTGTTTAGCCTGCGCACTTTAGCCAATAAGATTGTTATAAGATTTACTTACTAAGTATTAACCAATCATGTAACCGCTAAGTTGGAAACCCCCCTACCCTTGCTGTAACCACAATAAAAACCTGCCAAACTGGAAGTCAGGGCTCTCAACTCTGACCTGCTGACCTGTTCCATCAGTGATGGTTGTGAGTCCAGGCTTGAGCTTGCAATACTCTCGTGTGCTTGCATTAGAATCGGCTCCTTGATAGTCTTTGGGGATCCTTATCTGGACACAACAACTTGTGTGACTCTGTCAGTTGGTCTCAGGAGGGAATACAAGGCATAGCACATAAGATCACCTAGGATAGCAACCACACCAGCCTGGCTCACCCTCACTGCAGGGCCCGCAGCCCCTGCCATAATTGTCCCTCTGTAAACATTATCAAAACCATCTACAAAATGCTACAAGAGGGCAGCAGCATTTCAGTAAGGGTCTTGAAAAGATTTAAAACATTCCAGACCCTGAGACACTAGAATACTAGAAACATTTTGAGATGGAGAGACAGTTTTAGTGTACTTTATGTTCCAATGTACTTGTGGTTTCCTCAGTAATTATAAAGTTGGTTCTGATCACTTTATAGCCTTCCTGCCTCCCTCTTTCCTTTTCTCCCCGTCTTCTTCCTTCCCCCCACTCATATCTTCTTTCTTCCCTCCTTTCCTTCCTCTCTCCCTTCTCCTATCCCTTCTTTTCTCTCTCCTTCCTTCCCTTCCTTCCATTTTTTGAAATGGTATGATGACTTTTAAAGTTCTTTTAAAAAGAAGTTTAATGTTATTTTATCAACATATAATAATTGTACATATTATGGGACAGAGTGTGATATTTTCAGACATGTATATACTACATAATGGCCAATCAAGGTAATGAGCATTCCAGTTATTTCTGATATCATGTCTCTGTAGTAAAACATTCAAAATCCTTTCTTGTAGCTATCTTGAAATATACATTACTGCAGCCAGCCTGTTGCTCTCTAGAACACCAGAACCTACTTCTCCTGGCTAATTATAATTGATTGTGATTTGTACCTATTAAATAACAGCTTTCATCCACCTCCCCTCCCTGCCTACTTTCCCCAGACTCTGCAGGCTCTGGTAACCATTATTTTACTCCCAGCTGTTAGGAGACTAATGTTCATTGTACTGAGTAAGATCTTTTCATACTTATCTTTCTTTGCCTGGGTTTTTTCTTGACATTCTCCTCCATGTTCCTCTCTCATAGTTCATCTTCTCTAATTCTTTATTTATCTGAATAAACCTGTAGACAACAAAATGCCAACTCAAACTCAAAATGCCAAGAATAAGAACTCTCTATTTTGCCTCTACAATCTACCAGAACAACTTTAGATACACAAGTAGTTGAAAATTAGTAATTTGATCTTGAGATAATTTAAATGTACTGGGATAAATATGGTTTAAATTAATATTTTCTTTGAATGCAGAACTATGATTACCACTTAGAAATAACTAGTTTTTAAAAACCTGAAAATCACAGCATAGGGTAGAATTACTTTTACTTTACTTAACCTAAGTTTGTCTACTGAAATGTCACAGTTAGTGAAAGTACTAATATGTTTATGTTCACTATCTCTTAATTTAAGCACAATTCATAGTGTCATTTTCAAAAAAAATGTACTGGCCTCTGGAGCTCTATCTTGAGAAAGTCAGCACATGGAGCTGCGTTTTATTCTGGGGGATGTGAGCATGCCCAGAGTCCTCTTCTGTCCTGTGGCTATGGTTACGCTAAGAAAGAAAAGCCAACTTGTGTTACAAAGAGTGAGATTGAGTGGCTTTTCATACAGGGATTGCTTGTCCTAGTGGATTCATCTTTGATTTCTACTACTGGAGATTGACTCCTGCGTATGTATGTTTATGAGACCACAATGGTTTCAGTGATCCAGCAAATGATTCACAGAACTAAATGCATAGTCTTTACAACTGAAAAGTACAAAGCCCAGTCAGCAACCAGAAAAGGTACTTCATGTAAGAAATAAGGAAAACAGACTGGAACCCTGGTGACTCCTACTCCCTCCTAACCTCCTGTCTATGCCCACAAATATGCTCAGTTAGTTCTTCTAGCAATAAGTGTGACAACCCCATAAATGATGACCATCAGGAGTCAAGCCTGGGCCTGTGAGTCTAGGATATATTGTACGTGTGTGTGCGCGCATGCACGTGTGCGCGCTTGCGTGGGTTCACATTCATGCACAACTCCTGGATCTTGAACTTGGCGTCTGGGCACTGTCTTTGAGCTTTTCTGGATCAAGGATAACACTCTACCACTGAGCCATAGCTCCACTTCCAGAGTCTCACATGCTTTCCTGCCCGGGCTGCCTTCAAGCTGTGATTCTCAGATCTCAGCCTCCTAAGTAGCTAGGATTACAGGCATGAACCATTGGTGTGCCCCACTGTTTTAGTTTGTTTTTTAAATTTAGGACATCATACTTGCTCAGCTGGTGTCTGGCTCCAGGATTATTATGAAGGGACAAGATTTGGGGGCATCTTATCTGTAGAAAATACCCTAACTCAAGATTCCTATAGAATCCTCATAGAATAAGTATTTGGCATAAACCACATTGCTCAAACAGCTTAGGCAGTATGAAGTCACTCTCATCAGTTCTGAGGGGAATGACAATTCTCCCTAAGTGTCAGTTTCCAGACATGAGCCAAGAGACAGCCTGAAATCTTTCTGTTGTTCTGCATTAGCACATGAGCCTTGTCTTTGGCATCTGTTTTCTTTTCCTTTTCAGTGTTTTTCACCTTAGAGCTTCCATGCAATCTTTTAAGTTATTTGGATATAATGAGCTGACTAGATTCCCTTAGAATCTTAGGTGAACATACTTCCAAAAGCCTGTGATGAGGGGAACAGAATACACCACACATGGTGGGCATGAGGATGCAAGCCTGTGATCTCAGCACTGGAGGCGCAGAGACAGAGGGATCATGAGTGAAGGCCAAGCTGAGCTACAGAGGCCAGGCTGGTCTATATAGCAGGACTGTGTCTCAAAAACAAAAACTAAACTTAACAAAACAGACCAGCCACTGTATTCTTCTGAAGTAAACATGACCCTGCTTGAAAGGACGAGACAAACAAGTGTATTAGGGATATTATTTGTATTCAGTGTGAAAATGGCCCTTTCCTACAAAAATTAAGTTTCCAAATGCCTTATAAAGTATGTTGCTCTTCATTGGAAGGAAATAGTTTTGAGAAACCTAGACTGTCAATTTCCCCACAATAAAGTAAATCTATCTTCTCTCTTGGTTTAGTATTTCTACCAGGAGGTAACACTAAATAGTAAAAGCTATAATTTAACACAGTACTTTAGAAAAGTGTTGTTTCATCAACATGCAGTGCTTACATTTGATCTTTAAACGGCAAAGGCATGAAGGCTAATCAATGACAGCTGCAGCCAGGGCCCTGTGTCCTTTATCCTCAGTGGCCGTAGGCTGAGGATCATTCTAGGAACAGAATTATGAGTTCTTGGGTTTCTAGGTTCCTGACATGCTTAGAGATGAGGGAAAGGGTTTAGGGAATGAACAACTGTCTCAAAGCAAGCCTTTAAGAGAAGAATGTTGAAGGAGGTGCTGAAGGAGTTTTAACTACATTGGGAAGAAGGAAAGCTTAGACAATAGTAACCAGTCCCAGGACTAAGAAGAGGTCAACACATCTGAATGAACAGTAGTGGTTTACTGAAGGAAGCCAGCCTGTGTCAGTTATGTGACAGAACAAGGCATTGCTGTGATGTGGAGGAAATTTCCAGCAGATTCATTGATCCTTTCTTCCTTCCTTCCAGGGATTCCCAGGAAACACCAATTCAGACAGTGTGGTGCACTGTAGTCTCCAGTCGCCCTTTGAAACCAGGTTCCTGCGCTTCCTCCCTTTGGCCTGGAACCCCAAGGGGAGGATTGGGATGCGCGTTGAAGTGTATGGATGTGCATATCGTAAGTAGGCTTACCACTGCCTGACGTTCAGCATACATGTATTGTGAAAATCAGGCTGTAACTGTTGCAGGCTTTCAGGCTGTCCATCTATTCAAGTAGAACCACTCTTTATGGGAAATCCTGGTGATGCTGACTTTATTAATTTTGCTCTTGAGGAGATCCTAGAATAAAAATACAGACAAATAATAATCATGAATACAAAACAACCACAGGACATAGTTGAGTTTTAGTGGTTTTGTACACTGTTTGTTCTTATCAGTAGTAGGAATAATTGTTCTAGCACAGCACTTTAATTTCTTTTTTTTTTGACAATATGGTTGATAACAGCTATTGTCTTTCTTCTTAGTTTGTATTTTATATTCCTTATTTATATGAAGGATAACATCCAAATTGTTTATATTGGCAAACAGTGGCTTTCAAATACTGATTCTTTTTTTAGTTACATTGCATTACTTTCCATTTACAATGCCAGTCAATATATATTTTTAGCACAGTATATGGTCATGGCTTCCTTCTTTGCCTTATGCATTTTTATTCTTCAAGGCTTGTGTACCATTTCAAGACTAAGGCAGATGCTAGGGGACTACTCTCTCAGAATCTTCCTTTAGGAAGCCCCCCAGTATTTGTTGGTGTTCCAAGGACTTGCCATGTATTTAGCTCTAAAGTCTTCTCTCATTGGTTTGTCATTCAACAACACCTCTTATCTTATGAACTCCAGGTCACTCTCTCAGTGAAGCTGGCGTTCTAAAATACCAAACCCTTTCCCAACTCAGTCTCCATTTCCTTAGGTTGTTTTTCCTCTTGTAGTCCTCTTCTGTCTCTTCTTTTCTGCCTTCTTTGACTTGCAAGGTTTGTGTTCAATATCATTCTCTAGCAATCCTACAACACCGAGTTCTATTTCCATCAGCTATCATAATTATATTGTACTTTTTCTTCATTAATGTATTTATTAATAGGCAAGGAATGAAAGGAGGAAGTGAATGAATTTTTAGAAGCAGGAAGCCCATATACAGAAATGAGCCTCTTGTAGCTCACTAGATAGCCAGTCATGAGATGGCATCTCTGCCCTGTTTCAACTGAGATAAAGAATAATATGAATTGTAATTGCTTGTCATGTGTTTCTTTTTATTTGTTTTAGTTACTGTCAAGGGAACTCAAGCCCTGTGTTTATTTTCTCACAAATAAATAGTGTCTTACCACCTGAGTTTCCTCCAGTTTGGCATTTATTGGAAATAAAACCTTACTGACTTTTTCTGCCTTGGCTGGCTCTGAACCATGATAGGTAACAAGTCACCAGAATCCCTGTTGTTGTTGTTGTTGCTGCTTCTCCTTCTCCTTCTCCTTCTTCTTCTTCTCCTTCTCCTTCTCCTTCTCCTTCTCCTTCTCCTTCTCCTTCTTCTTCTTCTTCTTCTTCTTCTTCTTCTTCTTCTTCTTCTTCTTCTTCTTCCTCCTCCTCCTCCTCTTCCTCCTCCTCTTCCTCTTCCTCTTCTTCCTCCTCCTCTTCCTCTTTAGATTTAATAGAATCCATAAGTGTCAATATTCATAACCTTTTAATAATATGTTAATATTTTTCTATAAAAATGAAGAAAGCTTTCCTGGGTGCCAGTGGCTCATGCCTGTAATTCTAGCTACTCAGAGTCTAAAATCTGAGGATTGAGGTTCAAAGCCACCCAGGCAGGAAAGTTTGACTCTTATTAAGCACCAAAAAGCCAGAAGTAGAGCTAACGTTCTGGTGGTAGAGCACTAGCCTTGAGCTGGAAAGTTCAGAGACAGTATCTAGGTCCTGAGCTCAATTCCAAGGACTGGCACAAAAAAATAAAAAAGGACATATTTTGAAATGGTGAAGGAAGGTGCTGAGAAGAGGCTTCATGAAGGAACTCCTTCTTTCCAGTTCTGCTCCCACTTTCAGAATACTCGAGTTTAGTCAATGTACCATCAGGAACACAGTAAAATAGATGAAAGTATTAATGATTTCTCCCACGAACAAAAACAGGGAGGTTAATTCTGACCTTTAGTCTTTTATAGAATCCATCTGCTTTGTGGAAAAGTAGAAAGTAATCAGACTAGATTAGAAAAAGTCAGACTCTATTCAGTACACCACCTACTTTTGGAACCTTTACTCTGTAAGATGAGGTAAATGCATGAGGCTGATGCCCATGCCTGTCTTCCAGGCCAAGCGCCCTGGTGATGGATTCAGAGTCTTCAGAGCCAGGGTAGACACAGGAATGGGCTTGATTCCCAGGGTGGAATCTCATGCCTCATCATATGTCAGTTGAGGTCATTTATAATCTCTTGTTCAATTTTGGTTGGGCATATGTATCTAGAAATTTATTTCTCTTGGTGTTTCTAACTTATTTGAATATAATTCTTCAAAAATATTACTACTGATCCTCTGGGTTTTAGTGGTACTGGTTATATCATTTTAATTTATGATTTTACTAATTTGAGTCCTTCCCATCTTTATTTTGATTAGCGTTACTATGGGGTTGTTAATATTGTTTATGTTTTTGAAGAACCAATTCCTCTTTAGTTCTTTGCTCTATTCTTTCAGTCTCATTTTCATTAATTTCTATAATGGTCATTACTATTTGTTTCCAACTACTAATTTTGTTTGGCTTGTTCTTATTTTCCTACAACCTTGAGATGCATCATTGGTAATTCATAACACATCTCTATGAATTTTTTAATGTAGACCTCATAATTATAATCTTCCTCTTAGATATGCCTTTGTTGTCTCTCAAATATTATATAGTAAGTTGTGTTTTCATTTTCATTTAATTCTAAGAGTTTTAAAATTTCCTCTCTGATTTCTCAAATGACTCAGATGGTTTGCAGTTTCTTGATACTGTCTCTGTTGATATTGATTTATAATTTTATTCCATTGTTATATGATAAGATAAAAGAAATTATTTCAATTTTTATTTATTAAGACTTATTCTATAAGAATGTGGATTGTGCAGTCATTGGCTGGAATGTATGTTAAATACATAGTACTGGTTACTTCTGAAGTCTCTGTTTTGTTTTGATGGACTGGATGATCAGTCTGTAGATGAAAGTCAATATTGAATACATATACTGTTATTTCATCTGGATTCAGTAGTGTATATTTTACAAACTTGGATGCTGCAACATTCAGAGCATACGTATTTACAATTGTTATAACTTGTTAATTTATTTTTTCCTTCATTAGTATATAGTTTCCTTCTTTTACTTTCTCAGAATAATTTGAAACTGAATTCAACTCCAGAATAGAGGTATAGCTACTCTTACTTTCCCTCAGATTCTGTTCTTGGAATGTACCATTTCCCATCCTTTCACTTTTTGTGTGGGTATGTGCCTTTGCCAATGAAGCAAATTACTTATAGACACCAGACAGTTGGATTATGGTTTTTGATCCATCCTGAATCTTTTTATGTTTTATTTTTTGCTGATCCTGGGGCATGAACTCAGGGCCTGGGCACTGTCCTTGAGTTTTTTTGCTCAAAGCTAGTGCTCTACCACTTGAGCCACAGCTTCATTTCAGGCTTTTTGGTGGTGGCTTGCAGATAAGAGTGTCATGGACTATGCTGCTTGGGTTGGCTTTGATCTTCACATCTCAGCCTCCTGAAGAGGTAGGATTACACATATGAACCACCAGTGCACTGCTTCCAGTTTGCATCTTTTCATTGTTTAAGACAGGATTTATGATTAGTATTGGTAAGTATCTACACAATTCTGCTTCCATGTTAACACCTTGCTGGTTGTCTGTTAGTGTTCTTTCCTACTTCTCATTGTGTATTCATTCTTCCAGTGAAGTCTATTCTTTCCCAAGCTTTCTAGTTGTGCATGTCTTTCTTCCGCTTTGCATGTAGTAGTAAGTACTGTGTATTAAGTATTAGGTACTGCCTGTGATGGGAAGTTGGTTTTCATGAATTGCTTTACCTTTGCTCGACTGGAGAGCATTTATTTGTCTCTCAGTTTTGAAGGATACATTTGCTGGGTATATGAGTGTTGGTTGGTAATTATTTCTAATATTAGAGATCTACTTTTATTCTGGCAGGTTTCCCATTTTAGTTAGCCGGGAACTTTTTTTCTTGTAGCTTTTACCATGTTTCTTTGTTCTAATGTGAAGAGAATCTTTTATTGTCATGACTGTTTGGGGGTCTAAATGCTTCATGATAATGGATGTTCATCTCTTTCCCCAAATCTATGCGTTTTTCTATGTATCCCCTCCTCATCTTCTACATTGCAGATTTATAGTATGTGTCTAAGACATGTCCCAGATAGCTTCAAAGGATGCTCATGATTATTTTTCATTACTCCTACCGAATGCACTAATCCCTCCATCTTGCCTTCAATCTTTGATATTTTTTATTTTGTATAGTTTTCTTTAATTTTTATTAAAGTAGTTGTACAGAGGGTTTCAAATCAACATACCAGTTTATGAGTATAATGCAGATTCTTACTGTGTTTTTAATCTGTCCTCAAACTCAAATCCTCAATTCTTACCTGAATAATGAGATTACAGGCATACAATGGTATACCCAGCTACTTATATTCTTTCTTTCACTAAATCCAGTGTTTGGTGGTGTTTCCTATTCATTTTTAAACTTTTGAGTTATTTAACTTTTCATTTCCAAGATTGCAATTTTTTTTCAGAATCTGTTTCATTGCTGAATTTCAAATCTAAGTTGCTAAATTTCTTACCCAATTCTTGAATTGGCTTCTTTGTACCATTCATCTGTTTATTTGGGTCATTTTAGAGGTTTTTGGTCATTTTGAATCCTTTTGAATCCTTCATCTGGAAATTCAACCACTTAAAAATCATGGAATTGAGTTATAAAAGATGTATGAATATTTTCAGGAGGCATATTGCTTTATCATATTTTTGGTTTAGTTGAGGGTCTTCTTGATGAGAAGTTTTGTTTTAACAGCTCAGTCCTAAGTACTACTTGAAGTGGAGAAAACAAATCACTTTAACAGCAACATCAAAACAATCCAGGTTAAAAAAAATCCAGGTA